ATGTCCAATACAATGGCCAAAAGGTGTTCTGAGTTAAAAGTAATATCTATAACAATATAACAGAAATTTTATAAAAATGTTAAAATCAGTACCACTATTCTGGAGTGGAAAGAGTGAACAGTGGTCTTCCAATTCTACTACACTGGAGCAATTACCATTTGATGCAGAATAATACTGCAGAACTTTCCCTTTCCTGTTGCATTTCCACTTACCTGCTGTATCACAAAAAGGCAGAAACAAAGTACTCCCAATTCTTCCTTCATCAAGAAACAATGGTTCTCAAAATGTTTTCATTACCCCAATAAAAAGAGAAAATATAGGGGACATCTCAAGAACAATGACATCTGTAAAACCTCTGTTTAACATCTTTGCTGGGGACACGGACAGTGGCACTGAGTGCACCCTCAGCAAGTTTGCTGGTGACCCCGAGCTGTGCGGTGCGGTCGCCGTGCTGGAGGGCAGGGATGCATCCAGAGGGGCCTGGACAGGCTGGAGAGGTGGGACTGTGTGAACCTCATGGAGTTCAACAAGGCCAAGGGCAAGGTCCTGCCCCTGGGTCGGGGCAATCCCAAGCACAGATACAGGCTGGGCCATGTGTTGGGGGCAGCCCTGCAGAGGAGGAATTGGGGTTATTAGTGGCTGGAAAAGTGACTGTGAGCCAGCAATGTGTACTCGTGGTGCAGAAAGCCACCCGTGTCCTGGGCTGCATCAAGAGCAGTGTGGCCAGCAGGCTGAGCGGGGGGATTCTGCCCCTCTGCTCTGCTCTCGTGAGACCCTGCCTGCAGTGCTGGGTCCAGCTCTGGGGCCCCCAACAGTGACAGGCTGAGAGAGTTGGGGTTGTAAAGGGGGCTACAGGAACAGTGGGGAGGGACTATTTATCAGGGAGTGTAGGGCTAGGATGAGGGGTAACGGTTTTAAACTGAAACACAGCAGATTTAGATTAGATGTAAGGAAAAAATTATTTGCTGTGAGGGTGGTGAGGCACTGGCCCAGGGTGCCCAGAGCAGCTGTGGCTGCCCCCTCCCTGGAAGGGTTCAAGGCCAGGTTGGACGGGGCTGGGAGCCCCCTGGGCTGGGGGAAGGGGGCCCTGCCCAGGGCAGAGGGGTTGGAACCGGATGATATTTAAGGGCCCTTCCAACCCAAACCGTTCTATGATTCTACGATATACACAGACATATAAAAAAAGCTTCTTCCATCACTAATTGATGTTAAAATTGTTGCTAACTGGAATAGTCTGAGATCTTTTCATAAGTCTATACTATTGTTTAAGTACGGTTAAAAAAAATATTCAGAATTAACCATCAGAAAGAAGATCTAGCAGAATATACAGTATCTCAACAACATTTTTTGGATTGCTCCTTCCCATTTCAGATTTATGTACCTCTCTGGGGATTAAAAAGAAAACAAACCAACCAACCCACCCTACTTTGAATGTAGACGTCCTTGACTACATTACAATAGCAGAGTAGAAAAATTAAATAATTTCCCCAACAGGATCAAGAAACATTAAGGAATTGTGAGAGGAAAGAACAGATTCAAGTTAATACACCTAGAAAAAAAGAGATAGGACTAGTAGTTACAAGAAACCCTTTTGAAAACAATATAATGCATACCTTCTCACAGAAACTAATTCTCTCACACAACACAAGCAAAAATCAGAAACACGACAGAAATTATTTCATAGCATGCTTCAGAGGTAATAGATGGAAAACTTAACCCCGTTTCTGAGTAACTGACCAAACAGACTCTAATTTTATGTCACTTCCAGTCCAACATTTTTTCTTTTTTTTTTTTTGACAAAGTCATTGTAACAAGGAAAACCCAAAGTCATAAAAATCACATTTTAAAAAGTACTAGTTTTTAATCTTTGAAAAGCCCTGTTTAAAAGGGGCTTACATTTCAGATACACAAGTGATGAAGAATGTTTGTTTTAATGAACTCTCAAAGTCATTACAAAGACAACAAAATCCATGCAAATTTTGAGCAACAACATTTAAAAGGTTTCAACAGCATTACTATAAACCTGCAAAGTTAGTAGTTATGATGTCAGAAATCTTGACATTGTCACAGTTAAATCAGAGTCAACATGTATCTGAACAAAGAAGACCTCTGGAATATGCAATGTTCTAGGCAACAGAGACAAAGTAAGAGTGAAAACTAAATTGAGATCCAGCACACAAAAATGAGATGCATCACCATGTAGTGCATGCAAACAACCTGGCTGAAAGTCCTCAAAATCTGAGCTGGATTTTTGCCACCAAATGCAAAGGGAATTCACTGTAGTATATAAATATTTTAAGATAATATGGTGAACTAATCTCTGGCATTTGCTGTATCTACTTCAATTTTATGTAGAATACATGTATTTTTCACCAAATTATTGCTTGATTAAAAAATGATAGTAAGAATTGGAAAAAGTTTTCTAAGGAAATTATTTTTAATTTGATAAATATCGTACAAAAGTATTTTTACATATTTTAATAGTGTTAATAGCTTATTCCTTTCTAAACACATTCCAAACAGCAACAAAAGGAGAAGCAGCACTAGTCCGCTCTGCCCAGACTGGTACCAGACAAGAGCAGCGAAAAAAATTAGATGGCAAAGCTGTAAGGATCAGAGAACTGACCTTTAATTGACCTTTAATTGAATGTTGCAACTTACTGGTCAAGATTGTTGGAGACCTTATACTCATGAAACAGAACATATCTAGAAGTAAATTCTCTAAATCTACCTACTCACATCAGATAATGCATTTAAATAGTGATGGAGTTTAAAAGCAGTATTCCACATTACCCACAATATAACTGAAAAGCCTATGTTATTTGAAGCAATAATCCAATGGACAGTTTCTTTCTAAGGAATGCATGTTTGACTTGTTTTTCCCCACAGTGCTGTTGCATAAAGGTCACAACTGTATAAAATACTCAGGAGTGGGATCATGATCCCATGCCAAGTCAGCCAAAATTAATTCCATTCCTAGCTTTGTGACTGACTTGCAACATGAGTAACAAAATTATCATTTTTGCTTTGTTCATCTCTACAATGATACTTACCTACTTCACCAGGTTGTTGGGGGAACTAATGATAGACATGTTAATATTTAGGAAGCATCATAAGCTTCATCCATTCCTACAAAAATCTGTCCTACAGTAGCTCAACTAAGTTTTTCAGGACAGTGATTATCTATCTTTTTTTTATTTGTTTGTACAGTTCCCAGAACAATAGGGTCTTAATCCTTGACTTGGACAGCTAGGCACCATTGAAACATAAATAATTAGCAAACAATATGAGTTGAGAGGTTTAGCGAAGTGTTATCCTTCCCAGAGCTCCAAGGCACAAAGCATTTAAATGACCAGAATTTAGCCAATGCAAAGGGAACTGGGGACAAGGAACCATAGTCTTGGTTGCTTGCTAACAACTTTGGTGGCTTGTTCTTGAAAGAGCAGGCATACAAAAAAGAAGACTGATGGAATGCATATGTGAGAAGAGAACACTATTCAGAGGAGCACAGGGACTGCAAATATAGTTGTCTTCTGAGCAAGGCATTTAGGGAAAAGCTTTTTATGTTTTTGCCAGCTCTACTATATCTGCAAACTAAGCGCAAACACAGTAGGAAAAAAGAGGAGTTGTTTTCTGTTATTTCGGGTTTTTTTTTAAGAATCAACACATAAACATGCAATTTGCCAAAAGAGATACACATTAACAAGAAAGAAACAGTTCTATAACCAACAATAGCAGTTGTCTCGAGATGTGTTCTATGCACATATATGCTGCCTTTATCACGAGTATGCCCACTACATTCAAGCTAGAGTCTCACTTCAAAGTATCAGCTGTGTGTTACATACAGCAAGAACTTCCCCCTTGCTTCCCATTAGAAGTAAAACAGTTGGAGTTAGCCCAATCACTTGAGTATCTCTTCATCTTGGACAGACCTTTATCTTCAGCATCTAAGAATAGCTTCAAGTATCATGCATAAAGGGTATGACATGGAATTTGTGACAACATTTTTAAGTAAAACAATTACTGAGCAATTAAGTAACTGTTTTTTCATTGCCTGTCCACACAGTTGTTCTGGTGTTGGTGACTTTTAAGCTATGCACTCTCTGAAGGTGGATATCAGTAATTCAGGCTTGTTTACTCTAGAAATGAAAGACTGATGGGAAGCGTGACTGTCAGCATTACTGGAGCGAAAAATAATTCCTTCCAAGTGACAAAAGAAATGCTCTGCTTCCAGTCAGTCTGGAAGATACCTAGAGGACAGGCAATTTCCACAAGGTGATGAATGAAAAGGAAGTAGAATGCTGAGACGAAAGCCTGGAGAGTTTCCAGTAAACTGTGAATGCAGGGTGGGGCAAACGAAAGCAGTCTTCAAGAGGGATAAAGGCAAAGGAGTCAGGGTTTAATACACTACCCACAATTTTTATTTTCTTAAATATGTTAATGCAATATATTAGGAAAAAATGGAGAATTACGACAGAAACTAAGTAAATATTATTTTCAGCCACTAATCAAAGTATTTACAATACAGATGAACATGAAACAAATTAAACACTTTTTACCTAGATGTATCAAGTTAGTATTATAATGTTTTGGAACAGCCTGTATCCCATACTATTATTATATGTCATTATTACACTGTGCATCCAACACTCATACTCTCAGTCAACAATACATACTTAATACATACTTAACTTTGAACACATTAACCCACTTAAGTAATGCATTTCATGCACAACAGAAATTAAAACAAATCTGTCTTTCCAATAGTTTAGACCCCACATCCCCTCTTGTATTTGGCAGTTTGATAACCAAAAACTTGAATAAATTAGAATGATAAAGCATTTTCATCAAAAGACTACAGAGAAGTAATATGCATACAGTTGGATGTGATCTGAAATTGATGCTGAATCTCTGTTTTTGAAAGAAAAGGAACAAAGGTGCTGGGTATTTTTTTAATGAAGGTAAATGGAAAAATGTCTTAGAAAGTCTCCAAGTCTTACCTGTTGGTATGCTTCATAGATTATATCAAACAAGAAAGCCTGAGGCATTTCACTCGCTCTGTACCTGGCACGTTCCAATGAGTGGTCTAAACAGCCATCTGCAGCAGAGGCAATAACAGTAGAAACCAGAGGACGAATTGCTCCTGCTGCCTGTGGAACAAAACGTAAAGAAAGGTCTAAATGTTATTAATATTAATGTCTATTGGATAGCAAGAGTCAAAAAAAGGAGCTTTAAAAAATATTTTCTATTTATCTATCTCACAATGCATAAATACTACTTAAGTCTGTATGAGACTTTTAACATGAATATAACAACAGTGGACTGTTGAAGTACACACTGAGGGCCAATTTACAAAAAAAAAAAAAAATCATAAATCCTTTACGAACATCCACTGCAAATACATGTACAGATCCGAGACGTTAATTTTTCAGACTTTCTTCTACATACATATTAGGTAGTTTCTGTGAGGACAGTTCTAGGCCTATTCATATACCAAACAGTAGGAGACACAGCTGAGAGGTCCTGATAATCCAGAATACCTATTGCTTTCACAGATTTTATTTTGGTTAAACTGCTCATAAATACGCAACAAGGAAAGTTCCAGAAAACTGAGCTTGTTCTTCCATGCTGAATTCACTCTGTGAAACACTGAGCAACTACACTTAACAGTGAAATCACTGGGAACAGAGTATATACACCAGAAAGTATTCAATATCCAGCAGCACTGGAACTGAACAGATACTTAAATGCTTATATTCCAGTTTTGGTTTTCCTTAGATCTGAAACCAATTAAACATGTATCTTTGATCTTTTCATCATTATATTGTATTAAAAATCTATGGCATCTCAAACAGAACTCTCTTAGCTGGTTTTAGTCCGTTTGATACCAGAAAGTTACTCACACTTCATCATTTATCAAATGCTCACATGAACTTCATATGAACCTAAAGGCAATTGGGACAAGAATTGTTCATACAAAAATGAGGAAAAGTATGCAACAGCAGAACACTGTTTATCAAGTCACAGGGCAAAAAGCATGCTGCCTAACAACGCTAACTACTGAGAATGGCATCCTTACACTATACTGTTTATTAACTATTTTTAAAGAATAATAAAAAATAATAATTGATGTTGTTTCAAAACATTTGGAATTATCCAACATCTTAGATCAGTATACCTAGAAAAGCATTCCCAGTCGTGAATTCTGATACCTTTTACTGCAGCCACTGAGATCTAGTGAGCTTTGACACAGAAAAAAAAAATATGTCTCTCATCACATAAAAGAGAAGCACTGTTACTGTTGATTTCATTTATCTTCTGCTGGCAAATGCTGCCCTCATACATAGGAGTCATGTCCATTCTTAGAGGATTTCTGACCTCAGATAAGCATTCAGTGGCAGAATGAGATGCCAAAAGTGAGATTAACGTTTTTTTTTAATCTTAAAACAGAAATAATTAGTTGTCTTCCCTCATCCTTTCACACTACTGAACAATAAAACAAAGAGGAATGCAGTCAGCGTGTTGAGCATTTTATGAGCTCTAAAATACAGCTTCTTAGTTCATTCTTTTACAGAATGAGGACAGAGATGTGAGCCAATTTCTCATGCCCAAAGAGTTCTGATATGCATGAGCTACCGGGGCAGGGAGAAGGGAGAGAAAAGATTCAAAAGATTCTGAAACACTTTCTCAAAATCTGAAAAGCACTTTTTCTTTCTAATACTTGGGAAGAGGTATTTATATAGAACACTACATGGAGCAAAACACTATCATCCAAAGGCAAAACACGGTACAGAAACATCAGCAAGAACTATGAAATTACAGAAGAACTGTGTATAAAGGACCTCAAGAGGTTATCTAGCCCATCTTTCTGCCCTGGGCAGGATCAATTTTACTTCTGTAGTAGAAAAGATAAACTGACAAAACTAAACATCACTACAATCTTAGTAATATGTCACTGTATTAAATGAGGAGTAAATTCAACAGATGTACCTTGAGGAATAGCTGTGAATAAGCAGAAGTAGAGAGACTAAATTATCTGCAACTTGTCCCCTTTCTATTTCCTATTATTCCAGGATTATTACCTCTATATCCCAGCTGCTAGGCATTTGGACTACATTATTTTTCTCTGCCGTCATATTTTAATTGGTCTCACACACAAAAAAAATTATAAAATTAGAAGGTCATGGGAAGAGACAGAGCAGCATGCTAGCCACAGCTTTTCTGTAATTAGTTAAGTCTATTTGAATATTTTTTTTTCCTGAAACAGTTACCATTCCAAAAAAACAGTTAGCAAAAGAGGATTTCTTAGGTTGATCCAGTATTTTATTACAGATTTTAACAATCATGTCATGTTACATTTTAAGCATAAAACAGAGCAAGAGAATACAATGTGACTTGCGTAACCAAATCTCACAAGTAAAACACGCACTGAGGAACCGAAAACCAAACTGCAATTCTAAATAAAATTGAAATACTCAAAATTATATTCTTAAAAGAGCCCTGAAACACATTGTTTTCTTGACATCTGGTTTATTGCACAATAAAAATTCATAAATGTCTGTATCTTTGTGACAATACTGAACCACATCTCCTGCTCTGATGAGGCTTTGCTCTTCCAGAAGATTTGGGAAGATCTAGTTTCTAATAAATTCAAACACAGCATTTTTTAAAACTCCCAATTATCTTCTCAAATAACTGAAAGCTTCACGGCACCTAAAATTTAACAAGGAGCATTTTTCAAACAACTACAGTTTTGCTTTACATTACCCCAGAATTGAGTCCAGTGTGGCAGGCTGAGAGTTTCTCACCCTTCCTCACCCCATTTCAATGAGGGATCACAAGTTGGACACAACAAGATGCCTTCTGCAGCAAGTCGGCTCAAGCTATACCTGACACTGACTGGAAACATTAAATTTAATACCAATAATAAGATTTATGGCTGAATTCTAATCATGCAATGGAGAGAAATTCTATGTATGCAGTAACAGGGTAACTAGCAGTCACTTTGTTCTAAAAAAGGACAACTCCATCCATGACTACTCTATGCTCTAAAAGCAGAATGCAGAGCTCTAGTACTTCCTAAAGCCATGAAGTTTCTACTGCATAGAAAACCTTCATATGATGAGCAGCTGGGGTCTGAAAGTGGTAAAACCATGAACTAGAGCATACTTCCTAAGGTGCAGCACTGAGGTGAAACCTTAAAATCCTGAGCAAATCTACTTGAGATCTGGGTCAAAATAATTAGAAATTGGGAGAGGAGTACTCTGGGTAGGGAAATGTTAGTATGAGACCCAGGCACTTGCTTTAAACTCACAGGATTTGTATTCTGTGGTAGGCTAATTCAAAGTGTAAAAAAGATCTGTAAAACCATAGTGACATTAACAAGTACTTATAATTTTAAATGAGGACAGATTTTTCTTTATTTTTTTTTAAAAAACTCATGCCTGAACCTCTTGCTTGAGAGCCGGGCCAAATACCTGTACATTCCTGACATAAATAGCAAGTCAAAGCTTCTCAGATTCGAACAAATAAAATTTAAATACCTGAGACTCAGTATATACTTTCTTTACTAATATAGAAATAGATCTTTGTTACTGATCTATAACCAGAAAATCCACATGGAAATTCCTTGCAAATAATAAAATATTTGGTTGTGTAACTGAACAGATGTAGACTAGCTGGATGACTGCATTCTTCACTTATACCTTACAGTCATCAGGGGCAAAAGCCCATTTAGATACAGTAGCACCTTACTGTATTTTTGGCCCTACTGTGCTCTAACGTTTAATTTTCTAAACTAAAAAATGTAGTGTGAAGCCCAGTCTTAAATACCTAAATTCAGTTCATTGCAAGACTGCTAGGAATGGAATTCAGAAAACGCTTTGTGCTGAGTAGGGAGGATGCCAGTGCTAACCGAAGGAAATGCCACAGAACGAGCCATACATCTTAAACTGTGCCCGTACTTGGTCTGTATATGAGAACTAAATTCGCAGCTCAATTTTTCTGCTTTTACATGTCAAATATTATGTTTATACCATGAATGAAGATACCCGTAAACCAACTCTGGAAGCAGAAGCACGTGGTGAGGTCTGTGTAAGCCAGTGTGGGTTTGGCAGCTGTGTTGGCGTATGCCAGCTAGAGAATGTCACCAGAAGTACTGCAGATGCAAGGTTTCCTGCATCAGGGACTCAGTTCTCTTGTCCCATATGAGAACAATGCAGGGCATACACAGGTCAGTGTTTTCCTTTGCTCAATCCTAGTTTCACCCAGTCTGAAAGTGGCCTTAGTAACTAACGTAGTTCTTGTGCCACTGAGGTGGTAAACTCGGCCCTGCGTTGGGTCCCATCATCTGGTTGAGGGAGACCATGTGTGTGTGTGCTGAGGCAGAGAAAGGTCCTGCAGAAAGGAAATCTGTCCTCATTTAAAACTACAAGTACTTGTTAATGTTACTATAGTTTTACAGATCTTTTAGCCTACCACAGAATACAAATCCTGTGAGTTTAAAGCAAGTGCCTGGGTCTTATACTAACATTTCCCTACCCAGAGTATTCATCTTCCAATTTCTAATCATTCTGACCCAGATCTCAAGTAGATTTGCTTTCAAAATCATACACAAAATGCATAATATACCTTTCCTGAATGTGAAGTGGCTAGATAACAGATGGTTAAAGTGACTTTCTTTAAATGTCCACTTTACAGCCTTCAAGCCACTCCAAAGACAGCTAAGCACTAGTTTTGCTGAACCTGGCATGTCCAGAAAATGAATATATTCATTTCCCCCATTTTTTGCATATTTTGTTAAATAAATTAGTTAAAGTATCAAATATCTGCAGGCAAGCTCTTAAAATATTCTTTCATAGCATAACAGACATTGAAACAAGTACTGCTAACTGGTCAGTTGTATTTTGCAGACAGAATATGGGAACAAAACCCATAATTTTAATCTATAATTTTCTTTAACAGTCCTAAAATGTCCTGAGAACACACAATTCCATCAGTTTCAGGAGAAGTGACAGACTGGTATCTCTCAGAAGCAAGTTCATCCATACATCTGCTGAAAACTGAACCAGCCTCTAGATGCTTTTAGAAACAACAGGTGTCTTTTATAACCCATTTTAAACAGCACAAATCAAAAACGTTTACAAACAGG